CCCCAAAACCCCAAAACCCCAAAACCCCGGGGGTTGAGATAAGGATTGATTTTGATGTCAAAAGTATTCCTGAAGTGTGTGGCCCGTTTGGATTATGAATTTGAACAGCCTTTTGACTATTTGATTGCCTCATTCTCCGATTTGAAGGTGTTATGATCCTTGGGCTTTGTACAACTTTTGAGAAAATTGTCTTTTTAGGCTTCATCATTCTCAAAATCTGGAAATTCTCGAATTTTGAAGAAGAAGTTTTAGCTAGAGTAGTCGTAAGTTTAGGAGTATCCTTTTTGGGAGTTACTCTAAACTTAGACTTTTTGAAAATTGGCTGTATGCCGGCCTTCTTGTGTTTCTTTGGAGACTCATTAATGGGCACACTATTTCCAACAGCTAGTAAGGTAGATTTCGGTCTCACTTAGGGCTCTAGAGGTTAAATTTACTTCTTTACCCTCGAAAGGATTTTATTTCGATATCACTTTTATAATTTCTTTTCATGAATTCTATTAGGATGGATATTTGTCTCAGATGTTTTTGCTAATCTTAGATCTATAAATAACCACCAAAAAAATTCTTAAAAGCACTATGTATATAGTTTGAATTTTTGATAAATTGGTTTTCATTCCTCAAATTTTACGCATATAAAGGGAGGCTTAATTCTGTTAGTAAAATAAGCAAATGTAGAAGTACACGACTAATATCTACCACTTAATTAATATGAGAGGCATTCATTGAATGAATCCTAGGACATTGACTCTTGAGAGTTGATAGTAAATTTGTTGGTGCTCATCTCTCTTTATTAGATATTTGTGCTTCCTAACCTGTAAGTTTTTGTAGCTGGTTGCTTTATTGGATAAATTATAGAGTATATAGTCTTATACTATGCATGGAATTATTGTAAAATTTTGATTCAGTTTATAAATCTTTTGCTAAATCAAATATGGAAGTGATCTCTTTCTTAGGAGAGAGCTTGTTTGTTTTGCAGAATTTTGACAGTTAAAAATGTTTATATTCATATTATTGCTCATTTGGTTTAGAGAGATGGCTGATCTTAGCCTTCCTATTTCATTTTTAATAAAATGCATACTTCTGATTTTTCATTTTTGGTACAAATTGCTCAGTTTTTACATCTTCCATCGGTTTAGTGTTTAATTTCTTCTTCAGGTAGAATCTTGTATTATACATTTTAAGTTCACTTTTGCATTTCATCTCTGCTTTCCCAGAATTAAATTGGTTTCCGAAAGTGTTTTCTAAGATTAGCCTTCTCAAAAGTACTGAAGCCATCACTATTCTTACTGATATATTTATTAGTCCTTTCAGCTAGTGTGAATATTACCACAATCACCCATTCCTCACTGAAAATTTCTACCATAACTTCCCCATTATCCACTACTTTCTCAATTCCCCATAAACCGCCTAATTTCTTAGTTAGAACTATAAATTTGTCTCAAGATTAACGCCGGGGTATTTCCAGAAAAGAACTCCTCCTACTCCTCCTACTAAAAGTTCCAAAACTGGCTATATATTTCAACTTTTGCTAAAAAATTAGGGGTTTTGGGGTTTTGGGGTTTTGGGG